AAACAAAAATATACTATATAACCAAAAAAAACTACAAAAAAAGCACAAGATAAAGTTTCAAAAGTAGAACAACAAAGGAAGATCTCCCCTGTATGAAACTGCTTGTTTGAAACTGCTTCTTGATTGCTTACTAGAGGTGAATAGTTAATCAAAGAACTCGATTATTGGAAAACTAATTGTCGTGCATGTGTGTTTTAAAGTTTTTATTTTTTAACTTAAGAAATTATTTTTTATTTTCTATTTAGAAAACGTGGAGTAACAAATATTTACTTTTAAGGTGATATGATTTAAAAATCTTTTGCACAAAATAAATACTAAATATTTTTATCTATTAGTTCACATAACATTATTGAGATAACATAAAGTAAACTATTTACGATAAAGTCATTGAAAGTATGAACCTTAGAAAATTTTTGACTATGTTGCGACAGGAGTCCTGCAGTTTTATGAGTAGAAAGTTAATGAACAGAATTTACCCGGCGTGCTTAAAATTCCTGGCAATATAATAAACGCAAGGAGGGCTAGAACGGCACAAGGTTTCCAGAATGTACTGCTGATGTTTAGAACTTGTCTTTACGTCAGAAACTGCTTGTTTCCTAATCTCAGTTTTATCGTTACTAAAAACTTTTTTATGTTTATCATAATTGCTTGTTGATTCCTTTACAAAAGAGTATTTGATGATCTGAGACTCAATCAACCCATAGTGCAGTGACATGACAATATAATCAACTTAATACTGAATACATTGCTTGCAATGGATAATTTTCTCTTTAAACATTTGATGCAGTGAAACAACAACTCCTGTCTAATTACCGGTCTTTACATTTTTTGCGTCCGCATCAATTACTCAGGTCAACAAAACAATATTTTTTTCGGGTGCCAAGCAAACAAAATGTTTTTTGTATAACATTTCTAATTTTGATTTCAAATATGTAGCTCATTTTTCACCATCACGTCAAGTTACAAAAATATTTTGGTTCAAATTTATAGTAATTGTGGTAAGATCCCTAATATTTTCCAAAAAAATTGTTCAAAAGTATCAACATGGATCTCAAAAAAAGCGTATTTTCATAGTGATTTTGGTAAACATAAATATTTTTCCTTGAAAATTATTGACAAAAAATTATGTGAAAAAATGCTAAAGACTTTAAAAAAAATTTTAGCACAATGTTTCTCAGCAATAATACAAAAATTATTTTTGTTACAAACATATTATTTTTAAAATCTCTACAAAAATACACTTCTTTTGAGACCCAGGTTGACATACTTTTGAAGAACTTTTTTTTTGACACTATGAGGGGTTTTACCCTAAATGCTAAAGATTTGAACCCAAATATCTTTACAACTTGACGTCATGGTGAAAAATGAGTTTCATATTTAAAATTAATAGGAGAAATACTATGCAAAAAGCAAATAGTTTGCTCGGCACCAGAATTTTTTGTTGTTGTTGACCTGTGTTACCAAAGCTAACTTCAACTAGTTAAACTCCTTTAACACATCGCTATAAAAACGCTACAGTTGTTTGATTTCCCATTAAAGCTCAAAATATAAGATTTACAATTTTTTATTTTGTTAGTTTAACTTTCTTAAACTCATTTTTGCAATCCACTTTCTTAAACTCATTTTTGCAATCCACATATTTAAAGCACTTGATGTGTTTGTCGTACAAGTATGTGTTCTCCTTCTCCAACTAAAATTTGCTAAGAGCGTTTTCTACTCACTAAGAGCGTTTTCAACTCAGAAGTTTTTTTATATCTACTAAAACTTTTTATATCTACCCACTAAGAGCGTTTTCAACTCAGAAGTTTTTTTATATCTACTAAAGAGCTGCTAGCTATCAAGGTTGTCTGGCCGTGTAACACGTTGACTAATTTGAGAATAAAATTCTAAAGCCCAAAACTTTTGTTGCACCCTCTTTGATACAAAGTGGGACAACAGTTAAGAGCTTTTATCAAATTTTCTTTCATTGCTTGTTTAGGTAATGCTTCCATTTTTCTTGTTAATGTTTTAACATGAAAAATAGAATACATATCAAAATTATTATAACTATTAGGAAACATTTTTTTTCCTCCTGAATACCTCATAAATATTTGTAGTCATCTGTGATATCTGTAAAAGTGTGAATAACTCAAATTTTAAAAAAAAAATGTCCATTAAGCCAATATTTGATTGATTTGGAAAGAATTTTATATTTTGACTTTTATTAAACCTATAGATAATCCCAAATTTGTATTATTATTAGTGTGTTACATTTTTATTATTTTATAAGCTTAAAAAATTTATGAAATAGGTTCTATTAATCTTAGACAAAAAAAAACTTTAAAACGCTTATAAAAATAACAAAATGTAACATGCTAATCGTCTCTGATCAGTTAAACAAAAAGTTGTCTGTCGTTGAATAAAAAGTAAATTTAATAATGTGGTGTTTGATTAATGCTAAATGTTTTCGGGATATGTACTAAATACATACTTTTTTTGTCATGCTTTATGTGTTTTGCATATAGCTAAAATCGTAAATAAGATTTACCAAAAAAAGCAACTTTTTAATGATTGGTTGAATGAATAAATGAATTTATGTATGCTATATAATTTAATAACGCATAGTATTTATTAACATTGGTTGTCCTCAAAAGAAAGACCCAAATAAAGGAGAAAAGAGGATGATATAGAAATTAATGAGGATAATACAGATGATCACAGTAGGCTACTGTTTCTACTTAAGTATTCTATTAACCAGCTGCCCGTGAACCAGCTCCCTATCATTGAAAATTTTTATATATTTGCAGTTTATAAAATCATTCAGATCTTAAAAGATTAAATCTACTAGGTTTTTTGTTGTAGCGTGTTCTCAAAAGTTTTTCAGGTAAAAATCTTATTTGCAAAAGTAAATTGTAAAAATCTCAATTATAGATATGCTTCTTCGTTATTGATGTGTGAAACTATGTTGGTTATGGAAAGCTCCTTATTTTCGAAGCTGCTGCTAAAAGAGAATATATTTTTAATATTGTAAATAAACAAGTAAATATATCAAAAACAAACAAATAATCAAATGTCAACATAAGTAAATAAAAAACAATCAGTATCTAGGTAATTAATAAACACCAGGAGATCAGCTTTAAATAGAATGAGCAATTAGGATCATTCTTGTTTAACATTACAAGGGAGGTATAATAGTTTAGGAAGATGGTATTTACCATATAGTTATTTAAATGGGCGGACTCTGATAAGTAATTGTATTTAAGAGTTGGTGTACCAGGATTTCATTTTTATTAACCTGAGGCGTGCCATGGAGCCAGATACAGTTAAAGTATATTATCAATAATTTTTCTTTTAAGGAAAAAACACATTAAAAAATTTTTTTTTAATATGTTTTTATTATATCTTTTAAAAAAAAGTTCAACTTAATATGGAAAAAAAAAGTAATTAAAAAATAAGTCAGATGTTTACAACTTTAATAAATGTTGAATCGTAAAATAAAAAAATATTTATTTATTTTAAAATCATGTTTTCTCTGTTTTTTGTTGAGCCTTTTATTTTTATCTCTAATGGTCCAACTCTTAATTAAGAAGTCTTTTTGGGAGTTAAGATTTTAGTTGGTATTCTCCTTTTTGCTTGGAGCAACTAATATTGGATTTTGTTGACTTAACTTAACTTTATGTCTTAACGGCGCAGTGGAAATTGTCAACATTTGTTGGCTTTTAGAAAGCTGTAAAATTGGTTTATTAAAAAATACAATGATCTCCTTGGGTTTTCTACCACAATATAAGCTTTTTTTCCACATCTTTCAGTTTTCTTATTTTACAGCTTGTTCTTTTGCATTGCTTATTTTTTATTTCCATATTGCTATATTTATATATCTAAAAAACATAAACATATAAACATAAATACTAATTGTTGTAAAATTGAACAGGTTTTATTTATTAACAAAAATGTATTAAAGTGTTTAAGAAAGCTCTAAAGGTGGTTATTTTATATATTCTCTGTAATAGTATTAAAAAAAGTAATACTTACTTATTTATAAATTCAAAATTTATTTAAAAAAACGTTAAGAAAATACATAAATGCCCGTGTTTTTAATTTTTACACTCTAAACCCTTTATATTTGGCAAAATTGCTTATTTTTAAATATAAATAGTCAGGATATATTTTAAACCTAACTAAAGTACTTTTTTGAAATGCGCACAATTTTAAATATTACTTTCGTTCGCTAATTACTAAAACAATTAACTATGAGAATTAATTGTTTTAAAGGCTGCAATTTTTTTTGAAGCTGCAATTTTTTTTTGTACCTTGTTCAAAAAAAAAATGTAAAAGCTGATGCTTGAAAAATAATTCAAATAAATTTCAATAACACAAATCTCAATCAGGCTTACGGTTTCAAATTAATAAGGTCAGGCTTACAATTTATAAAATCAAGTTTTTTTTAGGAATGTAACGCCGACAAACATTTTGAAAGACATATTTATAGCTAGACTCAATGATACAATTAGAGAAACGCATACCTAAAACAAAACATATTTCCCTCAGTCAATCAGAATTCGGAGGGCATAATTTGGTGACTAAATTTAACATTTTTAAAATAGTCCTCCAAACCTTATATCTCAGGGCTGACGACATGGTTATTGAAGTGAGGAGGGACACAATTTTTAAATTTTAAACGCAGATACAGGGTTTAGAAACGAGGGGAGGAGGCCAGGGACCCTCGCCTTTTGTCAGCTTGGTAAGTTTACAAAGACACTTGCGCCAACAAAATATTTTTTATATGCTAATTTTGCATTATAGTTTAAATGGTTTTTTTTTTAATAATTTTTTATTAATATTTATTTAGTTTTTTGAGTCATTGATAGTAACAAACATTTTACCTTTCCTACCTCATTTGGTAAAAGTAAGTTGTTTTTTTTGTTGTTGTTTTTTTAGAAATGAATTTTTTTTTTATAACCATGAATAAATTATTTTTAACACCTCATTTTAGGCGTTGGGTGTGAGCGAGATAGATGTTGGTAAGTACATTAAACTCATTTTGACTTCATTGTCTAAAGAAATTCTTTGTCTCTTCAAATTCGAAGCCATAACTAAAAGTTTTATTTTATTAATTTTATGATCATATTTTTTATTATCATTTTATTAAATTTTATTTCATTTTAAAGTTATTTAAAAGTTTAAACTTTCTTAAACATTTATTTATTATTTATCTTACAATAGAAGTTCATTATACTAACATACGAAATATACTTGCTTAAAAAATTTTCAAAACACTAATCGTTTAACAACATTTAGCACCATATCTGGTAGCAAAAAGTTAGAAAAACTTAACATTTGCATTTTTAATGCTTTAACACTTGGGTATTTGTAACAATGATGCAGCATGCCTTAAGAATTTCCAAAGAGCAAACAATTTCCAAAACCTTTATATCTTGTATTCCATTTGATTGTATTTATTTTGCATTTTGGTGATTTATGCAGTAAATTTTATCAAAAGGTCAATTTTGATAATAAACGCTAAAGTAGGTATTACGCGCCTTAGTAAAGTAGGTATTAAACGCTAAAGTAGGTATTACGCGCCGCGTAAATGCCTACATTTTACGCGGCGCGTAATTATTCTTTTGATTATTATAATTTTTTTTATTTTTTAGTCTACCTGTCTCACAGAGATAAATTCAGTATGCTCATTGAAAATTCTACAATGTCTCACAGAGATAAATTTAGTATGCTCATTGAAAATTCAAGTTGCGTTCATTTTAAAAATTTTATTATATTCTGTCTCCTGCGATAATAACTACATTTTTAAGGGGTAACTTAACAAAGCTTTAGGGGGTAACATAACTTTTCATTTTGGGTTAAGTTTATTTATGTGGTTATTCATCGGACCAAGAAAATAGTTTAATTTGACAAATATTTGAGTTATTAAAACATTCTACTGTAAAAACTTTTGCAGATAAGTAAAAATTCGTGCTATCAAAAAAAAGTTTTGATCTTATATATATATATATATATATATATATATATATATATATATATATATATATATATATATATATATATATATATATATATATATATATATATATATATATATATATATATATATATATATATATATATAGATAGATAGATAGATAGATAGATAGATAGATAGATAGATAGATAGATAGATAGATAGATAGATAGATATATAGATAGATATTAAATACAGAAAGTGACATGCTTGATGTGTTGCAACAAACAAAGAAGAGGATGAAGACAAATATAAAGCAGAGGCAAATTCTGATGAAGAGCACAAATATTAGGAAGCATTTAAGTTCGAATTTTATCGAGTACTAAAACTCTCAAGGATATTTGTAGAATGCATAAATATGCTGTAGAACAAAAAAGCTTCTTTTTTTTTAAATATTTTTTGCAAATTTTTTTTTTTAATTTGATAATTTTTTTTGTTTCTATAAAACTGGAATAGATGTTAGCTTTAAAACTTCTCTTTTTATAACATAATTTAATAAAATCAAGCGTTTTCTTTTAAATGAGCTATTAGAGTAGAGTGGGGCTAGTTGAGCAATTTTTACTAAATCTAACAGATCTCATGAACGTCCACGAAAAATCGTGTGTCCCATTTACATAATTTTTTCAACATTTTAAAGATAACCAGCTAAAAATTTGTTAAGAAAAAAGTATAGTTTTTGATTTTTTTGAGAATATATTGCTTAAAGTTTGCGGAGCTGCTCAACTTGCCCCAGCGGGGGAAGTTGAGCAATAGTATAAGTTGAGCAATCAACAAATAAATAAATATGTATGATACAAAACTTGGATGAATCATCAAATACAAATTTCACAAACAAAAAGCGTTTGTATAATTTATAAACTTTTTATTTTATCCACTTTAATGACGTAAGAGAAAAGAAAAAAATTAAATAGTAAGAAAGTGTCATAAAATACAAAAATATTATTTTATACAACTATTTTGAACTTTGCCCAGCCAACATTGACATACGAATACAGTATGGGGCCCTAAAGAGTTGTCAACTGGGACCCATATGAGGAGATGAACGGTATCCCGCCGAATCTTGGCCGCGGTTTTCATATAGGTATGCCCGCTGGGTATCCCGTATTGGTCCCAGTCAAATCCCGTACTTTAAAACCGTAAAGGGCTTATTTGGGACCCATATGGGAACCCCATCGTGAACCCGCCGGATCTTGGCCGCAGTTCAGCTCAGGGGCCCATGTGGGTACGCCAGCTGGGTATCCTTTATGGATCCTACGAGGTTTATTCATTGCAAATCTTGCAAAACTGTGTTTAAAATGTTTAAAATTTAAAAAAAAACTACATTTATATAACTTGATTGGTTTATTTAAAAAATAATAGTTAAAATTACGCTGTCGAAATTAAGCAAACTTTTCAACGATTCTTTAATAGTGTATTGAATGCTTTCACGGTTATCTCGCGAAATGGAAGACTTCCGTTGTTGTCAAAACAAATTCTTTGAAAACCTCTTTTTTTACTCAATTTTCATATTTTAATGTTTCAATATGACCTGTAAAAAAATTAAAGTTAACTGTTAGTCTTAAATTTTATAGGTAACACATTAATTTTAAAATATTATAAAACTCTTATGATTTCTCCTCAACACTCCAGATAAAAAATGTAACTTGTACCATGAATGGTAGAAAAATATAACCCTTAATTTTCATTTATTTTTTTATTTTATTTTTTTTATTTACATTTATTTCAACGTTTTATAATGTACTAAATTAAGCATGTAATAAATAAGATGCTTGTAATTCATATAAATTTATATTCCTTTAGTTACTGATAAATCAATTAAATAAAATTATTATATAAATAAAATTTTAAATCTATATTCTAACTTTATTCGAGATGGTAATTTTAATCAAACTTTACAGGGTTTTTTCAATTAAAAAAATTAGAAAAATGAATTTAATTAATTTTATTTTTATTTTTAAAAAAACAAACTAATAGCTATACAATTAACATCAATAAGATAAGATAGTTAAAAAAATAATTCAAAAAAATTAAATAAATAGTAATATAATCATAAAATGAGTTGCATAAAAGTTTAATCAAGTTAAGGTTTAGAATACAAAAAATTTTAAAAAGTACAAATTTAATATTTTAAGTGTCCTCCTTTGGCTTGATAGCAAAGAAGAACTCATCACTTTTAACTAGTACTAGTTCAGAAGTTGCTTCAAATGCTGAGTTGATTGAATTTGATGGTTTACTATTTAAGTGTTGATCCATGATCAAATATTTACTACTTGGTTGTCGATCCATGACCAACTATTGAATATCTGGTGTTCTAGGGCACCTAGGAAACAAAATGATCTTCTTTGTGATAAATCAGTCTGTTATACTATGTGTTGTGTGTGCTGGAGCCCCGTCTTGCTGGAAAATGTATTGCTTGCTTCTGCCATAGAATTGTGTTGAAGATGGAATCAAAAGTGTTTCAAGTGTATTTTTATAGGCATATTGGTTGATACGGTCGCTACACAGCTCACAAAAACCAAGGTCTTTGTGTGAAAAACATCCCGATAAGCCTACTGAGCCTCCACCACTTTGTCGTCTTGCTTGTAAATAGCACTCGCAATATTTTTCAGTTGTAAATCTTTTAATTTATATTCTTCTATTGCGGTTTACAACCTGAAAGTTGACTCACCGCTCCAAATCACTTCTGCCCAATCTTAAACTATCCAATGCAAACGTTTTTTGCATCATATTTGTCTTATGTGCCAGTCCTTGATTGACAGGATAAGCTTTTGAATTCCAATATAAGACCTATACCTTTTTTGTTAATGTTCTTCTAACAAGTTCTTTGCTTACATTTCGATTAGAAAAGGATTGGTTGAATATTTGAGCTTTTTGTTGCTGAGCCTAGGATTTTTTCTACTGGTTCTGAATATAATACTTTTGTAACGGTCACTAAGCTTCAGTGGTCTTTAAGAACGAGGCATGTCAACAACGTTACCTACTAGCTCTCAGGTTTTCACTGTTTTTCGCACGAAAAATTCCTAAACACCCATAAGTTTACTAATTTAATCATTGTTATAATTCTTTGATTTGACCAGTCCAACAACTTGCCATTTGATGCTCTCTGACACTGCTTTTCTACCCATATGCAAGCAAATTATAATTTAAAATATTGAAGTTATTCTTTAGATAATTTTTTGCAATTAAAATATTTTTTTGTAATTTAAATTTTTTTTTTTTAAGAATCATGAGTACTCTTTAAGTTAATAGTTTATAACGTTATTAAGAATTAGTTATCGAGTGTGAAAAATGTATAAATAATTAACTCGATTAAACTTTTATGTCATCAGTAAAATAAATCGTATAACATTTAATTAGTTGTGTGAATGTGTGAATGTATGTGTGAATATTTTTTTTTTGCATATTTTATCAACAAACATAAATAGCAAGACACAAACAAAATAAACATAATAATGAAAAACTTGACCTTTTGTGCATATATATATATATATATATATATATATATATATATATATATATATATATATATATATATATATATATATATATATATATATATATATATATGTGCATATATATATATATATATATATATATATATATATATATATATATATATATATATATATATATATATATATATATATATATATATATATATATATATATATTTATATATATATATATATATATACTAGGTTGGTTGAAAAGTTCGCGGAGCGGAAATGAAAAAACAATTTTATGATTCAAAAAATGACTTTATTCTTCAGTATATTCTCCCTTAAGAGCAATACACTTTTTCCAACGATTCTCCAATTCATGTATCCCATCTCTGAAGTGCGATTCCGGAAGGCCTTCAAAATACCCATTTACGGCTGCAATGACTTCTTCATGTGATGAGAAACGCTTTCCACGTAGAAATTTTTTGAGATGTGGAAAGAGGTGGAAGTCGGACGGAGCCAGATCTGGTGAATAGGGTGGATGTTCCAAGCGTTCGTACTTTAA